AGTCAGATTATGCTGCAGTAATTGCGTAGGCAAAGAAACCAAGAGACAAGAGGTTTCCTCCATATTAAAGGCATTTTCTAGATGAAGAATAATTTTACAACCAGGGAGGCTGCTGCACCCCCAGGTCAGCAAACACTCAAGAGGGGATGCAGCTTCAGCATGCAACATGGCAGTGAGCGAGTTAGCCGCTGGGCTGTCCTGAGGAACACAGGCATGTCACCCAGAATTCTGTGACCGCATCTTAGGGAACACCTCCTGTAGTAGTGGTGGGAAGCACCAAGACAAGCAAAAGTACACAGACCTCTCTGGTATTTTTAAGTATCAATTATGTGAGACTTTTTTAAAACAGGTCATGATATGGGGAGTGCATGCAGCTTCTGGGTTACAAGATAAGAAGCTCAGCCTAGAAGGAGGTTTTGCAGAGGGTCACTGTAAGGTAATTTTGTGATTAAGCTTATTCTTGGTTAGCTGATCCTAGACATGCCTCATGCAAGTGAGGGCATGCTGGGGAACACGCAGAAGAGGAAAACTGAGGAATGCATTAAAAAACCCTTTATGCTTTGCTTAAATATTCGTTGAGGTATGGGCTTGTGTTTGATGCTGATGCAGGTTAGTTACCCTATGTCTGTCACATTTACTGTTTTTCTTATCATCTCTGTGGATTATGGAAGAAAGTATTTATATTGTGAACTATGAGGCTGCCAACCACAATTCTATTTGTTCTGTCAATCCTGTTTTTCAAGAAATCATTGAATCTCTTTTCTTAACAGTCATTTATGATGAAGTATAGAAAATAGGTTGAAATTTTTGCTCACAATGTTAAGTGAATATATCATGTTCAGATCAGACACTCACAAGCTTGTTTTTTAATACTCAAATATGCTATATTTAGCATAAACTGCAGTTACAGTTCAGTTTTCATGACTTGGAAACATAAATGATGGGCCCTGAAACTGTGACGACAGATTCACAGCTACAGAGCCGTGCCTGAGGTGCTACAGGGAACACCAGTCTGGGGGACAGTTTCTAAAAACTCATGATCTCCAAAGAATGCTGAGGACTAAGAACTCAATCTTATTATTAAAAATGTCTAGTAATTGAAGCAGATTGCAGAAAAAAAAAACATCCTTCTTTGTTTTTGTATGAAGGTTTCAAGCTAGAAGATTTGGCAGAGCAAAGCTGTAATTCTTTGGTGTCTAGGAAGGTGGTGCTAAACTACAAATTATAGCCAAAGCCGAGAGAGCTTGCTTTCTGTTGCATGTAAAGGACTTCATCATGCTAGTTAACGTTTCTTGAAGCCAATAAAGATTGCAGAAGGAATGTGAAGAGAGTAAAAAAGGAAGGTAAAAGGGCTTAGGCTAATATTATTTAATATCTCCTAATAAAGTTCCAGTGTTAACACAGAATCACAGAAGGGTTAGGGAAAGGACCTTAAGATCATCTAGTTCCAACCCCCCTGCCATGGGCAGGGACACCTCACACTAAACCATGCCACCCAAGGCTCTGTCCAACCTGGCCTTGAACACGGCCAGGGACGTAGTATTCACAGCTTCCCTGGGCAACCCATTCCAGCGCCTCACCACCCACACAGTAAAGAATTTCTTCCTTATATCCAATCTAAACTTCCCCCGTTTAAGTGTTAGGAAAGCTCAACCCATTCTGCAGTTTCTATTAGTTTTGTTGTGTGAGAAGAATCAAGATCTGCTCTCAACTTCATGGTTTTATTCAGGCAGCCCGTTACATTGTGAAGCAACATGTGTGCTCCCACAAATGACGTGGTGCTACGGCTCCTGTTTGTATCAGAAGAAAGCTGCATCCAGCTCAGAGAAATGTATTTTATTCTTTATATGCATAAAGATGTTCATACTGCCCTTGAGCGACCGGTTTCATTCTTTTATGCATAAAGCTCTATGGTTTGTTTTGTTTTTTAATCTGAGCTTAAAAGTGAGCTTCTGTTTCTTGTCACATTCTTTTTCAAGTCCGAAAAGCTTTTCACTAAAACCAGAGATTAATTGCAGCGCAGGGATGTGGGATGCCCAGGAATACCAGGCTTGGGCTAGTGGACACTTTAGCCCTTCATTATCAGCACTAATATTACCAGTTTCCTATGAAACTTCCTGTGATTATGGATTTCTTGAGGTATGGCTTGACTTTACTTAAATGTCATGACCTATTATGTAATTGTTTCTTTACCCATCACTCTCATAGACAAAAGTGATGAGATCTTCTTCCTGGAAAAATGCTTTTGAGTGCCTGACTTGAAATATGTTTAAGAAATGTGCTTCAGAGTTTCTGAAAACTTGTCCCTCTGGGTTTCTCAAAATCATTGTTTTATTCTGAGGGCTCCTGCCTACCTGCCCAGGATTTCTGCCATTTCCCTTTGTTACCTGATTCTCATAACACTCATTTGTGACAGGTGATTATTATAGCAGAGAGAAAGACAGAAATGCTTGCTCCAGACCCACGGAAGGGATGGATGACAGAATTTAGTTTAGAATCAGTATTTCCTGAGTCCCAGCCCTGTGCTCATTATTGTTTTAAGTGGTGCAGAAAGTATTTGTATCATTACCGACAAGCCCTTATTACTACCAAGTAAATAATTTTAGTGTGAAAGTGCTTGTCATGTAACCCTATACACTGTGATAAAAGCAGTGATATATAGGCAGTTCCAAAAATATGCACATTATTTTTTGTCTTTAAAACCCTAGTGAGATCTGCTGGGTGAGTGCAGAAAGCATGGCCCCAGGAACGCGTGCGGTATGCAGAGGTCTGAAAGACCAGCCAGCAGCTGGCCTCCAGCAAACCACCTCTTATTCCCAGGGAAGAGATCAATGACCCTTGAATTAGAGACAGAAACCTTCCCCGGGGCTCCAAGACTGAACAGAATGTAATTTTCAGAAAGCCATCAAATGTGTGCCTTTGAAAGGTGGAGACTCCCATGAGTATCAGACCAGAGGCACAGCAAGCAAAACCCTTTATGTCATCTCAGTGACTTCAACATGGATATCTATGGGCTGGTTGCTTCTGAACTCTATCACAAGGTACAGCAATGGAGCCACATCAGACTGGGCATATAGCAGAAGTATTTAATGCTCTCACACAGCAAGATTGCTCACTGACTATGGTGTTGCTTAACAACGGTCACAGGAGCATGTTAAATCTGAAAACATAGACTTCACTCTGCGGAATACGTAGTCATTTTCTTCACATTACAATGATTTCTTTTTTTAGAGCATTAATTTTCCTTTGATCTTGTATGTTTTGGTATTTATGTTGTGGTGGATAATTATTTTGTAGACAACATGTAGAACACTTTGCTTGGACAGCACAGGGCCAGTCCTCTGTGGAAGGGAAGTCACTATGTCACATCCCTCATGTGGGTGGTACAGCACGATGGCTAGACTGTGGTTAAACAGGGCTGACTGTGACATTGGCAGTTGGTTTACATTGATTACATATATCTAATATAAAAAAAAATAAAAATAATAAATATATATATATACATTTTACATCTATTCCATGAGTCTATGATTTTCATTTTCATATTCCATCCCAAAGGCTGACAACTACTGGCAAATGTGGCACTATTTTTCTGGCCTTTACCATTACAATGCAGGATGGAGCGAGAGATTATCAAGGAGAAACTGCCATCATGATTCATTCAGTGCAGGAGAGATTAGAGATGACAGGTTCTAATCATAGCACAAATACATCCTTGTCCTTATCTGATTTCTTCTTTTTAATTCCCCTTGAAGCATTTGCCACTGAGAGATGTCTGGAGTTTTTGTAGATGTCAGTCTTTGAACATTTGGATGGAGTGCTGGACATGAGTTAAAAAATGAAGGGATTGATCTGAGCCACCATCCAGAATTCACCACTTGTGAGTTCACGTGGCTTATGCAGACCACAGTGATCTCAGATCACAGCAGGAATATCCCTCGAGACCTAACTTGGTCTGTAATGGTAGGTGTCTGCTTCTGAATGGCCTCAAGAAGCCGGTTTACTTTGATGTTCCATGAAAAGCCTACCAAGGTGAGGTCAAGAATGTATATACATACACACATATGTATATATGTGTGTAGATATTTCTAGTACATATATAAAATATACATGATACAACATATACACTTTATATATTATTTTTATGCATATGCATATATATGTATTTATGCAGAAACATATGACATGTTAATATGCTAATAATTGCAGAATGTGGCAGATGTCTGGTTTGGATGACATTGTTCTTCAGAATTAATTGCCCTTCATCAGGTTTTGATGGGTCAGGGATGAATTCCTTGACTTTTGGATATAAACCACTGTATATCATATGATATATTGATATAATCATACCTCCAGATTTTCATGGGGAATACACTGAATGTTATACTTCTGCTTTTTCATGGAGAAATCAGACACTCAGTAAAATTAAAATGATTTTCCTGGAATCCTTTCACTTTATTTACCTTAACACAGAGTAAAATATTTTGTAACTGTAAGACTTCCTGTCATCCAGATGATGCTGAATTACAGGCTGTAGCCACTGACTTCATACTACCTTTTAAGTAAGTGAAGCATGATGGAAAAAGTTGTAAAAAGCCACAGCAGAAAAGCCACCAGCTCTAGAAACCTTGGAAACAGAAGGTGTGATATTTCTTCATCAGCTTTCATTCTGCTGGATTAAAGATAAGTAAAGAAGAGAAATGCAGACATGGAAGTTAGGCATAATATTTTGAAGGAAAACAGAAATAGATTTAGAGGCTGGCGGGACTCCCTCAAAAAAGGTGCTAAAGAGGAAATTCGGGGAAAAGAAGTGGGAAGAATAAAAAAAAAATAGTTAAGTGGGATATCTTTCATGGATGTTTTCAGGAAAAAATAGTTGTGGCTTATTATGAGGCTTTTATGCTCAAGGCAGTTGATAAAAAAGTTGCTTTCTGTCCTAAATCTTGATATGTGTCAGTTATTTTTCTCCATCACTTTTATCCTTACCAGTGTTACACACTTGAACACGGTGGTTTTGCAGTCCCAGGAGGAGGAGAAGGTGCTTGGATCTCACCAGGTATTATGCCGAAAAGCAGCTGATGGCATTCTGCAAATCTGCACCCTGACATCAGTATGTGGCTTCAGGTTATTAAACACAGGGTAATGCACGGCCCCAGACAGCATACAAAACAGCAGTTCATTTCCAGCCCCTCTCTGGATGTTGTAGCACTAATGATGCAAATCAGTTGTCAGGGAATATAGCCATGTTATGTGTGTAACCGTAATAAGGCACTGCTATGGCTGAGTTCATTGTTTCTAGGGGGAATAGAGAGTTTGGATTCAAATTGCAAAGCAACCCTGTTCCTGCAAGAAGTGAAAACTTGGATAAATGAAGGTTAATAGAGTTAATTGTGGGGAGTAATACAAGAAGGCAACTCATGCTAGAGAACATAAGTGATTCAGATAAAGGGGAATTGTAATTAAATAGAAATTGGATAAACATGATTATCCTGGAAACGTTTCTCAGCGCAGTACCAGGAGGTTTTAAGATGCAGAGGCAGGCACATGTACATGATCTGGAAGTAAAGATCATGTACACCACTGCCAGCTCTCCTGCGTATTCCACCACTGCGGCTGGTTGCCCATGCTGCTGCGCTGTGTCAGGCCATAAACTGAGTTAACTTTGAAGTCTATTTTGTCTGCAACTGTAATTGGCAAGTGATCTATGTCTTCATCCCAAACCCCAAGATTCCTCACGTAGCAAACTTTCATATAGATGGGTAAATATTCGTACTTGCCATACATGCCAACTAAACCTGATACTTTCTATTAGTTTAAAATCCGTGATACTTTTAAGATGTACTGTGTCATATCCTTTATGTCGATAATTATAAGTTTACTATGTTTTTTTTCCACAACTTGTATTACTTTTTATGTGGCTGTTTAAAATGAAATGCAGTTTGATAACACTGAGAGGCAAGCAAGAGGCTTTCCAAACTGAACTCCTTTACGGAAATATATACTTGTGCTTCTTTTGAGTTACAAATATTCCTTGATGACCTACCAGAGATGAAGGGAATCATATGTATTCCTCCTAGGACAACCGCAGACTTCCAAACAGACTTTTTTTTTTTTCCTTTTCTTTCCTTTTACTTGCAAAATATTTTTGGTACATTTTTAACTTTTAACTATGTATCATCATTAAGAAAATCTAAATATACTGAATTTGAATACAGGATGGTACTAATTCACATTATAATTCCTATAGATTATTTTACATAACTCATGCAGAATAAAAAATCCTTGAGAATTTAATAAGAACTGTTAAATACTTCTGCTGTTCCATTATTTACAGTACAGGTTGGAATGATTGTTTCATGATTCTTGGTATATTGTATCCTAATGACTTCCCAGCTGCCTAAGGAGAATTTGCACTGGAGTTCTATTATTTATTCTGAGCAAGCGAACACCTCTCTAGGGAACAAGCCCGTCTGCCCCACCAAAAAAGAGGTTGAGGGGAGATCTTCTTGCTTTCAAATTTCTCCACTTTTCCAGTACCAACTGTATTCAAAATCTTCAAGCAGACTTCACAACCCCATATACAGAGGCCAGTTATAAGCCCTCACTGTCATCTTTAAGCTTGCTCCTTGAAACTAGGTGGCTGATCATTTACACACTGTAATAACCTCCTAAGTATTAGGATAGCATCCCTTGTGATAGTGAGATGTGCCTGAGAACAAAGCGAATTGAATTTGTGAAAACCCCCAGCACATCCTCTTTATTTCTGCATCTGCCATGTGACACAGTAATTGTCTTACATTCCTGTCTCCTCTCCTTGTTAAGTGAGTTTGTTGAAGTTTGCTGTATCAGACATACATATATTTGCAACCATTCCCAAGATCATGACTCCATTACCTAAATCGATTGTTGAAACTTGATTTCTGTGCTGGAATTATTTATGTATCAGGGTAATTTTTAAACTCAGTCAGTCATGCACAACAACATTTTTCATTTCCAGTCTAAAATTCCATTTCCTTAGCAAGATCTTCTGTTTACTGAAGCTTAGTAAGTAGTCATTTTTATATTTTAAAGTTTTCACAAAATTAATTTCCTGAAGGTCTATTTCTTTCTGTCACAATACAGCAAGTATACACAGGGCCTAGACTCAGAGGTCATGTAGATGACAGAGTAACATAATTATTCCCACAAACCAGCTCAAAGGATCTTGGCTGCCTATACTATAGGCACAAGTTTTGGCATGCACAAAAATGAAGGCAGAGACACCAAAGTTAAGACAAAGTTACACACTACCTCAAGTACACTTTGAGTAGTTTGCGACACAATGTTTCTGGGAAAACAGTTTTTCACTGCTGAGTGAAGTATTTTCATTTCCTAAGGGAGAACTGGGTTTTGAGCATATGTAATTTTATGAATTCTGCAACAATCAAAACTTAACTCTGGAAAATTTGTTTAATTTCCATGAAAAGGTTATTGTTTGATCTCTGACTTCCTGGCCATGATTTTTTTCCCCACAGCTTTAGTAACAGTAACATGACAGATTCACATCAGAAAGTAACCCATATATGCTGCAATTTTGTGCTTTTCAGAGAAAAAGAGGAAAGAGCTTTAAGAAAACACTGAGATACTTACTGCCTGTGTTACTGAAAAGCAAAGATGAACCTTCCAGTTACCCACCCTTCCATAAGCTAGCCTGTTGTTGACGTTGTTTACAGTGGCTTTCAGGCAGCTTGACATGGTAGAAACTCATGAAGGCAAGGCAAATATAGTGTCGTATTTTCTAACTTAAACTATGTATTTTTAGGTAGTCTTGGTTTGCAAAAGGTGAAGAACGATTACATTTTTATCAAGGTATAGTATGGGCTTAAGGCTAGTGATTATGGATTCTAAACGTACATAGCTGGCAGTGTTTCTGATGTGCTCTGACAATCATGCTCTGTCTTGCATTCATGACAGAACTCTTCCAGAGATGGTTCTCAGTAACCACAACAGTATGACAGATGCTTATAGTAACTGGACATAAGCGGTGGCAGGTAAATATGGAGTGTAATGTTATCATTCAGTACTGCAACAGGTTGCAGTGAAGCAATGAGGGCCTTAACTATTTTCTTCTTATTTGATTGTAAATCAATTAGGTTAGTTTGGAAATTTCTTCTGAATCAGAAGTTTTGGCATATGAAATGCTAAGAACTGGGAAGAGTCGTAAGTCAAAAGGTGTTAGTAACTCTACTGCTTTCAAAAAAATAACATGAAGAACAATGGGAATCAATTGCTTTCATTATTTAAAGACACAGTAAAAGTCAGTTACATTGTGTACAGTGTGGAAACCCCCAAATGCTTTGCAGTTTAACACAGATTGGCATTGGTGGCTGCTCTGATATAATGGTTAACTCTGTCCACATTACTGGGATGAATGTGTGATTCATCTTCACTGAATACTTTCAAACATTACGAGGATCTGACTGAAATCAAGGTTGTAGTGATTAAGGCAGCTACTGGGTGTAACAAAATATTATCTACAGTTGTTATGATTATGCAAGTGGGATTACTGGGAGACAGATCAACAGGATAGCTTAAGTCCAGAGTAGTATTACTGAAGGTCTACATATAGTATTTGTGGCATTGTATGAGAGAACACTGTATGAACTTCAGAACAGTCCAAATATACCATTAAATAATCACATAGTAATGACTGCTAACTGAACATCAGTGCATGCCTAATGCAGGGATAATTCACTAGTGAACTAAGAAGCTGGTAACACAACAGGTAACTACAGAAAAATACAGTAGTTGGTATTTTAATAAAGTGGTTAAATGTAAGAAACTAAAGCTTGAATGTTTTTGATTGGTGCTACGTGGCAGATCAGCACAACTGAGTTTGATTACTAATACACAAGGTTATGCTTGCTTCTGCCATGCTGCACTGAGGAAGAAACCCAGGTGAAAAATTTTGTCATGAGCTGAACTTTTGACTTTGGGTAAACCTACATGCATCTGATTTCCAGAATATTTACACAGTTGATGGAAATACTGTGAACAGTGCTGAGTGGCTACAACTCCATGGAGCAGCACAGCAAACATTACAATGAGCAGACAGTGGTGTTGTCCTGTTAAGTTATTTAGAAGACACTGATAATGAAGTCTTTATCTTCAGTCATTTGTCACAGGTGTGTTTCTACACAGTTCCTATCCTTACGTTCCTTTGGGCTAGATCTCCTATATATCATTTTACTTTCTATAAATGCATCCAGAAAGAAAAACAGTGAATTTGCCTACACTTTATTGCAGTGCTACTGGAAAATGCAAGCAAAGAAAGAAAAAAAAAACCCCATCCAAATCTAACACCTTGATATACTCAGTTTTTGGGTGTCAGAAGTATTATCCAGCATTAAACTGTTTATTACAAACCATTATTTTCCTATGTCAAAAGTAATTGCCATAAATGATGGCTCTACTATTATTTCATTGGCTTCACTTCAAATCCTGTACCTGTTATTATGAAAGACCTCAATGGAGGCCCTGAGAGGCTGCTTCCTTGTAACAGAACCCCAAAGCTGCAAGATACAACTGAGAATACCAAAGAATTCATGCAGTCTGGAGACACCAGTATCATCCCGTACTCTTATCAGGTGAGACAGTAACTTTGATCAAAGGCTATCTGTTGTCTTCTACGATAATGGTTCTTCTAGGATAGGTATCAACGTCCACAAATATGTAGCGGACCTCAAGTCTTCCTCTCTCAGGATTCTGTGAGAAAAACAATTTCAGGCTGTTTTGGTTTTGTTTTTTTTCTCTTTGGTAGTTTTAATCTCAAGATTAAGCTTGTCAGCTGTATCAAACAATTGTACGTACCTCTTTGACTTCCACATGGACTGTTCCCCGCTTCCCTGATTCAGAGCCCTCAATATAGAACTTCAAACGCATATGTTTCAGTCCATCCTTTATGTATTCAATGTGACTAAAACAGCAAAACAAAAACCCAAGCCACCCAGCAAGGATACATGTTATATGCTAGTTAAAATATAAACAACTTCTTTAGAGAAGCTGCTTAACTATTTTGTAAGAAAATGTATTCTGATGCAATCCTTATGCTACCATGGGTTCATTCTCTCTACTCCTCTTCTGAAGCTCTGCTGTGAGTATAAGGACTAGTGGAGTTAGAAGAACTACTATGCAGTTGAGGATTAACAGACTAAGTGCTTATATGTCCTCACCCCAGCCCTCCCCTTGAAACTCAACAGCAATCCAGTGGCTGAAAATTCTGGAATTTTCTTGCATTTATTCTAAAGAACCCCCAGATTCAGAGCCTGACATGCAGAAAGGAACACCCCCATCATCAAGACTGGCAGGGTTTTGGGTTTTTTAGGCACTTAAAATGAAGTTACCAAGCCAAAGCACACAAACAATGTTTTGTTAACTTATCAATTATCAGGTTGGTTAAATCAATCAAAACAGACACTTCACTATAGGCTTGACATATTTTGGCAATGTCTGTTAATAATAATAATTATTTGTTCTACTAAAGTTGTGTAACTTTAGCACTGATATCAAATCTCCAGTCTAAATGCTCATATTTAGACTGGAGTTAGGTTATGCTCAATATCAGATAAAGATCATGTTACTTTCAAGGTGACCAATTCCAAAAACTAATGGTCAAACTAGAGTTCTGGTGCCAGCTTATGTTTCCTACTGAAATTGCTAACTGCTGCATACTACCAAGGGCTTATTTTCATCAGTCATGCTCAGATACACACTGTGAATTAAACTTCCAATATGTTTAAGGTGACATTATGGGTTACAGAGAACAAAGATGAATGAAGAGCCTTATTGCAGTAAATTCACATTCAAGGTACTCATAAACATACACAGAAATCTGCCCTTTTTGAGACATCCTTATACTGCAGACACAAATGAAGTCCTCAGCTCAAAAGTTTATTTTAAATACTAAACTTTCAAACTGATGGAAATACTAGGAAAGCTTATAGTGCATTTACTTATTTACACAATTTCTTTTACAGACAGGTGCTTAAAACATTTAGTGCATATCCTTTTCATTAGCAGCTCCACTTTAAACACTTTTTCACAGTCTGGTGAAAAGATAAAACTTCCACCAGTAAATATCACTTTCCTCTGGGGAAAAAAAAAAAGTTTCTCAATTTCATGGTTCAAGTTATGCATCTGGGCTTATGTGTCCCATCCTGTATGAAATCTCCTCAGGCAAATTCAAGTCAAAGGACGAAATAAAGACAAAGCCCCTATTGCGTTATAGGGCAGGAAGGATTCACATTTTCTAAGAATTACTTCTGTTACTTCCCTCAAATACACTTATGAAAGGTTTAGGTGAGAGATGTTCTGTTAAATACACAGTATAGATGTAGCCTCAAGTACCAAAAATCAGTTTAAGAAATGGGCAGCCAATACTGCAGATCAGCTTGGGACAATATAATCACTGCAGTGATTACAACCTGTAGAGTCAGTCCCAGCCCAGCTTTAAAGAGAGCAAGTTGTAAAGTCTGAAATTTAGTACCTCCTGCTCTTTCTGGCCTGATAAAAACTACTGCTTCAAAAGGAGAAAAAACTCTTCAGGAACAACTTTTCAAAGCACGATTTCACTCTATTTGAGGGTTTCAGACTGTAAACTTCAGTCAGATCCCTGCTCCCCAGATGCATGTGTAGGCCTCTGTACTGCTCCCTTCAGACTCTTCCTATTCTTGGAAGAGTCCAGCTCTATGTTTACTGTTCTGACCATTGCTTGTTTTGAGGCACTCAGAACTGGCATTTTGTATTGTATGTATGCTGTACTTCACAGTATGTGCTCCACAAGATGTACCGCAAAATACTGCTTTCGTTTTCACTCAAAAGTAACAGTGTATGTCACATGCAGTTCATTAATCTAGATCTAGCTTTCTATTATGAGACCTAAAATGTCTCCGCAGTGCCTGTATGGGGCAAACACCAAAGGGCACCTGACAAGCTGTCGTCTTCCTCTTCTTGTTGCCTCCCCATAACCTTTAATGGATTCACCAAAAACACCGATTATCTACAAGAGAAAAGAAGCTTTAGTTGTCAGAAGGTATCACATTGAAACAGATATTCCAGAAATGCTATGAATGCATTTCACTTTCAACAAAATGCCCCTTCCGAGTCTGATGTGTCAAGGATAGAAGAGTTTATGACAGAGAACAGTGTAAGGAAAATTCCTCTACATTTCAGTGCTTTTCTTGACAATCACATATTAGATGTCTAAAATCCCACTATCTTCCATTTGTACTGTTCTCTGCAATTATGACATTTTAATCTGTCTTCCTACTGTATATTTTATACTTTACTGACATTTTGTGTAAAATGGAAAAAAAAAAAGCATGAAATATTTGATAATGTCTCCTCCAAAACAGTATGTTTCAAAGTTTAAAATGCAAATGCATTCCCCTTCACATTATCTAAAAAACATTAAGAAATCCAATTTTTTTGCCCAGATCTGTAAAGCCAGACCAAATTAACCTAGTTTTAACGTAGTTGGTTAAAAAGAGAGGGTGATTTTTACTGCGTAAACACTGTAGATAAGTTTTAGTTCTACAAACTTGTTTCAAACCAGACTCCATTGTTATTCTAGTGACAACCTGTTACTTCTTTTCTAGGCTATCCTCAGTGGCATCTGTGGCAATCTTGTTTGAAAGTTATTTCATGCATTTCTTGGTGTGCCTGAAGCAGTGGCTTTTAGAATCCAGCGTTAAGAGTGACTTTTGTTTACATCTAGCTACCTTGTGTGATAACATGACTGTTCTCCCTTTTTCTGTTAGCCACGGGAATGCTATCTGTGTTTCTCATGAAGAATTTAAATTCCTGGATACTTATGCAGTGCTTCACAGTATGACTGAACCTTAGTGAAGTGTCACAACAGATGTGTGAGATTCCTTGTGCAAACTTCTGACTCAAAGTTAGACAGTAAACTACTGAGAAACAGAAACTTGTGACTAAGGTTCAAAAACAAACCTCAGGGTGAGATCTGCATTTCTCCAAGGCATCTCCATAGATCTTACTTGGACTAGAAGAAGAGAATAGCTCTTTAAAAATCACATAAAACAAACCACCTGTAACAGAAACAACAGCAAATGGAATGAAAACTAATCAAACCAGATTAATGAAAAGCATCTTCTAATAAAGAATATAATTTTTAGAAATAACCTGTAACACCAATTCCAACAAGCACCACAATAAAATAGGTAAAGTCTCTTCCAGCATCTTTCACTGAAATAGACAGAAAACAAGCAGGAGTTACAATCTTGTACAGTAAGATTTGCATAGTTTTCTTCTATAAATGCTCTCCTATTTGTCTGCAGCTCAAATAACATTTTGGCACAAGAAAGAAATCCACTAACAGCTTCATAATGCCTCATCACTAAAAGAAAGAGACCATGGAACATCTCTTATCCTGTACACAGCTTGCTTATACCTCTGGACTAAACCTTATTATTTTCTGTTTTCCTACTAGATGTTTTCAAGACCCAGAGTACTTACTGCTACTTTTTGTGTACATGACAGATAGTTTCTTAAGAAGTAATGAAGTATTTAGCACTGTAGTATTCATGCTACTGTGTAAACCCACAATCATTGCAATCCTCATGCAATGAAAAGGTAAAAAATGAAAAAGCATAAGCTTATAAATGGCACACACTGACTGAAAATAACTGATTTTATGAATTCTTGATTAAGTGAACAATGAAAAGGAAGGATATTAGACCAAAATATGTATTTTATTTGAGATCATTAACTGCAGTTTATCTAATTTTATCTATTAGTTTTGAAGTGGCAGCATACATGCAAAAAAATCCCTTAAAACAGTCATATGAGATTCTCTGTTACAAAATATTTTTGAGAACCTGGAAAGAAACTACCGATTTGCTTAGTTGATAAGGTTGTGCCTTTCAGTGAAGTACAAGTTACTGGGGAAAATTTAATAACAGTTTCTCCTGTAATCTTCTAACCAGTTGAGGGTGTTTTTCCGAAATCTTTTCAAAGCACTTAGAATTTTTGAGGTTAATTATGCAGAAACCACTTTTCACTGAAGTGAGAGCAACCAAAGTGACAGCCACCCTATAAACTAGCATCACATGTAGACGTTTAACTATTTTCTAGAAATAAACTTGTTTCAACAGCTTCAAGGTAGGCTGTGTGCAGTAGGTTTGCCTTTTGAAAAGGAAAATGAGAGGCGACTACACATAGCATCACAGGATAGTTTGGGTTGGAAGTGACCTTTAAAGATCATCTAGTCCAACTCCCTGCAATAAGCAGGGATATCTTCTGCTGCCCAGAGCCACATCTAGTCTGACCTTGAATGCCTTCAAGGATGGTGCACCCACCTCCTCTCTGGGCAACCTGTGTGAGTGTTTTACCACCCTCATTGTAAAGATTTTTTTCCTCACATTCAGCCTGAATCTCCCCTCTTTTAGTTTAAAACCATTACCCCCATCTTATTGCAACAGGCCATGCTAAAAGGTCTTTCCCACTTTTCTTATAGGCCCCTTTTAAGTACTGAAAAGCCACAACACGGTCTACCTGGAGCCTTCTCTTCTCCAGGTTGAACAACCTCAACTCTCACACTCAGCCTTTCCTCGTTGAAAATCTTATCCCTGATATGACTTAACCACTAATAAGCAAGCTGTTTGGAAGAAGCCACTAATTTCTGTTTTACTTGTGCAATACATAAACGGAAACGGATCAACTGCTGCAAACAGAAGGACGTGGAAAGAAAGGGCTCGGTGTTTTAAATTCCTGAGTTTGGGGGCTGTACGATCTCAGCTGCAGCAGTACTTTTCTCCGTGCCAGCACACAGTGCTCCCACTCACAAGTGACTACAGCCCGTCTTACCTCTCTGAGCAGCCGACAGCAGAGTTTCTCCTTTCTCAGCCCTTTGCAGGGCCACATGTTTGCTATCATCGCTAGGTTTCTCAGCTCTCACCCCCCCGGCTTGCGTCCCGATACTCCTCCGGGCGGCCCGGAGTAGCAGGGCGGGCTCCCTGCAGTGAATTTGGTGCCGCCACCTCAAGCACAGCCGGAGGCACTGCCAGGGCGCCGTCTGCAGCAGGGCCCAGCCATGGGGAGCGAGCAGCCGCCTCCCCAGGGCGGTTCGCACTCCCTCGCCGCCCTGCCAGGCCCGCGCAAGGGAGGTGGGCAGCATGCCGGGGCTCCGCTCCCAGCCGCCCTCAAGGAAGCACGCCCGAGCTAAACGGGAAGCTTCCGCTACAAGCCACCGGCCCCACGGGGGGTCTCTCGGGGAAGAGTCAGGGCAGCTCCCCACCCAGAGCGCGGTTCCCCAGCCGGCGCTCCCGGTCAGGAATCCCCATTAGCCTTTACCGGGCGGTAGCGACCGCTCGCCGCTACCCCAGCGGAAATCTTCCCGGGGACGGCGGGGAGGACGGCAGCAGCGGGCCTTAGGAGCGGTAGTTTAAACGGGCTCCCTCTTGCGCCCGCCGCTAAGAGCGGCTCCCAGCAACATCACTACAGCGACCGCCATGCCGAGCGCCGCCGCCATCACGGGGCGGGGACACTCGGCCGCTAAAGGCGGCGGGGGGAGGTTCCCCACGCGTCTTACGACCGAGGTCCCGCTCACGTTTTTAGGCTTTTTAATATATGTAAATTATATATATTTGCTTTTTGATCTTGCACACATAGGCGCCTAACAGCAATGCAGGTGACGTTTCCACCAGAGAACGGCTCTGGCTTCACGGCTCACTACGGGGAGGGGAGCGGAGGACGCCTTGACAGGGGCTCAAGGCGGGAGTCAGTGCGGTTCCCGGGCGTGTTAGCGCTTTCCGTGTGCCCCACACCGGGCTGCTCGGTGCCCAAGGATCGCCGCGGCACGCACGGCAAGGTGTAGCGGGCAGTCCAGCCCAACAGCTGTCTTGCCGCGGGTCTACCCCGATGGCGCCTTCGGAGCCCTCTCCGGGCCCTGCTGGCAGCTCTCGGAAGCAGCGTCGTCCCTGCTGTCCCGTTGCAAGTAAACTGCTAGGGGTGAAAGCTCCCGCAGCTTGTGGGTACCAACAGCACCACGTCATTGCAACAGCTTCCCCGCGGCGGCGCTCCCGGGCCCGCCCTACGGCGTCACGTAGGAGGTAGCAGCGCCCGTCCCTCCCTCCCGTCTGGTGCGAGGCCACTGGCCCTGGGCGGAGCTGGCAATGGCGGCGGGCTGTGGTAGGCCCCTGCGTGAGTGCAGCCCGACGCCGGCAGCCGGCGTGGCAGCTTTTCCCGGTGCCGCAGAGGTCGGGCTGCCGTCGCCGCCTTTTACCCCCGCTGGTCCCTCGGCCGTCAGGCCCAGGTAATGGTTTCCCTGCCGGGCCTGGGGAAAGGCAGCCGGCTCGTGTTTTGGCACGTTGCCCTTAGGGAGTGGTTTGATGTTTAACTCCTGTTGCTGGTCAGGGAACCCCGACCCACCCGTCTCAAGGCTGTGGTTTGAAGCCCTGAACTCGCCGTAACTCAGGCCTGCTCTTTTATGGCTATAGTGCTCTCCTCTCCCTGGCCTTGTGGAGGGAGTGTCTTTGTGGAGGTGACACCTTGTAGGAAGCATGAGCATTCCACGTGTACATAAGGTTTATTGCCCTGATTTCTGTCTGGGTAGTGGGGCTTAAACTTAGCATGTGCTTGAGCTTAGAAGTAGTAGTATGTGGCCTTTCAGTTCTTAAAAGGGGCCTATAAGAAAGGTGGGGAGAGGCTTCTAGCAGGGACTGTTGTGACAGGATGAGGGACAGTGGCTTTAAGAGGGAAGACTCGGGCTGTATGGGAGGAAAGAATTCTTTACAGTGAGGGTGATAAAATACTGGAACATGCTGCCCAGAGAGGTGGTGGATGCACCAACTCTGGAGACATTCAAGGCCAGGCTGGATGTGGTTCTGGGCAACCTGATCTAGTTGAAGATGTGCCTGCTCATTGCAGGGAACTGGACTAGATGAGCTTTGAAGGTGATGAGCAGTAGCCCTTCTACAAAGTACTAGCTAGCTTTGTGGCTAATGTATGTATGTTAAGGGTAGTTAGGCCTTTGTAGCACATGGGAGGATTTCATTGTGGAAGGTGTGATTAGCTTAATTCTTACAGTAAAGGTTCAGCTTCCAAAAGTTTAAATCTTAGAGGCAAAGTTGAGAAAGCAGGTTTTTCTGCTAATTCATTCATACCACCTTGGGTTTTATAGCAGTTTCATTCCCCCCATTTGTTTAACCTGTAAATGGCATGCCTAATACCCACCTTTCTAAAAGCCTTTGGAATTGTTAGTAGAGAAAAAGAAACACGATGTCAAAACATTGCTGTCATTTCTGTTTATCCCCAGGTATGCATTTAACCTCTACAGGGGTCAGGGTTTGTCACTAAAAGCTTTCTTTGAAATAGTTTTGTTCCCTGGCCAGCAAAACCCCCAATAGTAATTTGCAAGTACTACGGGGTGTGAAAGTATAAATACCGGTACAAAACTGAGTCCCACAAATTGAAAGCTAATGAAATGGCAGTTGAGATTGTTTTGCCTCTAAGCAGGAGCATCTTGTTTGTTACTAGAAGTCTCTAAAAGAGGGGGAGTAACATTGATTTTTAACTTGGGCAGGCAAGGTTTGTCAATACAGCATGAAAGTGTTTTGTTAATAATGATTTCAAGTCTTAGCAGACAGCATTCCAAAAAAATAGTTTAGGGTTTGCTGTTGTTTCTGCATACCTTAAGAAAATTTTCAGTTTGGAAGATGCAAAAATTCAGTACTTGTTTTGAATCGAAGGTTACAAAAGTGGTGGATACTACTATATCAAAGTTTTCAAGGCATGTGTAGGCAGCATTTCTCTTACTTCAGAAATTCCTTGCTGGAGTGAAGAAGAGGGGGTGCAAGGAGTGGTTAAAAAGAGAGCAAGAAGGACTGAATAGAGGCAATGCAAGTTATGCTTGTACCAAGTAAAGTGTGTTGTAAAAACCTGGATCTAGAACCTGATCTAAATTACTTTTGTACCTGGCATCTGTGTAGGTATGTCACTCTAGAATTTGCCCAAACTAAGTATCTTTGTGCTTTCAGCGTAGATAGCAGAATAGGCTGGGACGTGCTTCCCAGAAAGATCCAGAAGTGGTAGTTCTGCTGCTGTTGAACATGACTTACATCCCTGAATCCCTTCAGTGGGCTTTTGAAAAATGCAGTTAGTTGTAGCCTTATCGATTAAGTGTACTTCTTGATAATAATACCTGAGTAAAACATTTGCTTGACCTTCAGGGTATATTTGACATACAGTAGTTGTTAATTTTGTCAGCCTATCAGTGAAGTTAGTCTTATCATTTCAGCCAAGCTGAAATGTGTGTAATTTTGTGTCATGCTTACAGCAATTTCCAGTAGAATTTCAAGGTTTTTTTTTTATTTATCTATTTTTTTTTTTTTCCCTAGCAATTGACGATGTCGGTCAAAGTTGTTCTTTCTAATTTTTATTTTTCTTTGAGAACAAACCAATCTCAGTTCAAGAACATTGTGCATTAAATGTGTGTGGTATCCATATACTTAAAAATGACATTGTAATTTCATTCCCAAAATTTAATTGGTTGGTTGGAAACCCAGAGCTGGACTGACCAGGTGTTGGAAAGTCACTTGGCAATACAAATCATCGCTAACAAAGTGTATGGGGAGCTCTGTCTGCTTGGTGGCATCAGTGGGTATTATTT